CACGTGCTATAAGCACAGGTGCGTGCATGCGTGAGCTCGTAAAGGCATAAAAAGTCGTAGACGCGCGTGAGTGAGCGAGCGAGCGGCAGACGCGAGATGGAAAAAAAAAAGCAAACCGGCAATAATAATCAAAGGAGTGACCCGAACGAGCAGCCGGTAGAGCGCCACTTTGTCGGACCTGTCTTTCGAGTTTCGTCTCGTGCCACATACAGACAGGTCTGTCGCTCATGGCGTACGCACACGCGTTCACAGCGATACGCCCGATTTCCGGTTTAAAAAATGCCTGATTCCGGTTCCGAAGCTGGGTTTACCGCGAGCCTGATCCGCAGCCTCGGTACCGCAAGCCGCGTCCCGACGCCGTAGGTCGCTCAACGAAGACTGCGTTCGTGTGCGCATATTCGCGTACTTACGTACAAATGGCCACGCATGTCGTGACCCTGCGGTAACCTCGGCGACCTGCGGGTTCACATGTCGGGCCGCCGTTGCTGCCGCCATCGCCGCCACCGCCGCCGGGGTGAAAGCCTTGTCGTCGATAATACTGCACCGTAAGCACATAATTGCCTCTTGCACTCGTATTTGCGCACGGTACGCGGGTTGCGCGATCACCGCATACGATGGGTAGCAAAGACGCGAAGTAGTAAAAAAAAAAAACACGATGGAATGCAGTAAACTGTGTAACACGACATACGGTGATAATTTACTCGTTTGCAGCGCGAACGACTCGCAAGAAATACGAATTTGTGCGTAGTTTGATCCTCCAGAAGAAGACTTTAGAGATTTCGCGTCATGCTCCAGCATACTCCAATGTGCTTCTGTTATAGCTTTTACTCGATGCAACGAGCGCGTTAGAGTGAGTAAATGCTATAGTAGGAGCATTTTAGAATATGTCAGAATATGCGACGCGAAACCTTAAATTATCAGAGTAGCACAAAGATCTTTCATGTTTGCCCTATCATTATATCAAATTTAAGAATTAACTGAGTACTTATTGGACGACAGATCCAATACTAGACTATCAGATAAAAGATAGCGGTCGAAGTAGATAATAAGACAATGTCGGCATTCGGCTCAAATAAAAGGTTTGCGTTACTCTTTTGGTAAATATAAAGCTAAGAAAGTGGGAGACAACACGCTGCAAATACCGATGTAATTAACAAGATTTTCCCCATGGAAAAAGAATGCAGCTCTTTGATCTTCTTTGGTCTCTTCTGCTGGTCGCCGAAGACTGGCGTTTCCTGGGAGATGCAGAAGATGAAACGACAAAAAACAGTATCTTACGCACGTCAACATCGTCGGAATTTTATAAATGCGTTTCTCTCCCTTTTGTCGTGTTTATATTTCACTCAGGATTTCTTCAGTATTCTTACAAATATCTCACGTGATTGATCGATGTCGGTCACTGCGATTGATTCTTTTGAAACAATTATGAGACAAAAAGCAATGTATCGCTATTATCAAAATTCTTCAAAGTTTCATGTCGAGTAATATTTGTAAATTTTTTTTGCTCGTATCATATTTCTATTTTCCAATTGCCCCACGCAAAAAAAGGACTTGTAGTAATATCAGTTGCTGATTCAAATTTTGCTGTTATTGCTAAAAGTTAGTTATTGAAGAAAATATATTTGCTGCCGACATCCAACTTTATTAGTTGAAATTAAAAGCGTACTTAATACGAATAGCTAAGTAAGTGACAGCTATTATATTCCTCACTATCTTAACCACGGAACCGAGCATTCCATTCGCAATTATTTCTGGACGCTGTCAGTTATCATTTTACTCCAGCAGAGAATATTTTTCGCTGCAGCACTTAAATTTTAGCAGCTAATAAATTGAGCTTTGGCAGCAACATTAGCTGTCCCTATTGTAAGGATGCATTTTAGCTGCCGCAGTTATATTTTAGCTGCGTTGCTAATCTTTTCTCTGCGTGTAGAAAAAAAGAACATTTTGAAATTAAAAAGATAGTCGCTTGGTCGCTTGGTCGCTAGTTCTCTAACTACATCTACATATATTGTATGTAAAACCGCAAGTCATTACACAGCGATATAACAACGCCAATAACAATAATGGGGAAAAAAAACTTGACGAGTATATATTTTCATAAGTCATAAATTACAAATTGCACAGGTGCACATCAAAGTTAACAATTTTCTGGTTAGAAGTTTTTATAGCCATGATAACATATCTCCAATTGTTTACCGAGACGTTGTCTTATCAAAAAGTTGTAACACATTGATTTATCACACTTCTGACCTAATATATGTACTTCGACTTACGAATATCTGCTTGAGTATTATATTTTAAACAATATATCTATCGACATTATCGATCTTTTCCGCATGAATTGGACGCATGAATAAAGATAAAACTGATGGCATACACATAGCTCTACGAAATAAGTGATCTAAAACCAATACCGACTCTTACTTCTTCGTTAAATTTCTCTTGCTTTTTCTCATATGTTTTTTCTCGTCTGATCACTAACATTGAGTACTTATCTCTTCGAGCTATGAAGAAAAATACTCCGTTTTGTACGTCGTTTAATGTTACTACGACGAAAGATCGTGGCAAGGTTTATTCCGAAAAAACTGCGGATTACGGATCCAATACATATTTAATATTTATTCTTGACATGAAATCAAATTAAGAATGTAAAGAGATCCCAGAAGAATGTCTTCAAAATTTTTTACAAGGTAAGGAAACATTTTAAATTATGACGATACTTTTTTAATTCAAATAAATATAAATGCCTTAAGAACCAGACACAAAATATTGATGTGTTCAATATTAATTTATTTGATTATTTGACAATAATTAGACAAACATTTCGATCCATGCTTGGGATCCTTTTCAATGCAATGTAGTACAGTCCAATGGATTAATAACATATGATCCGTTAATCCAGAATGCGAAGTTAATATGTGACATTAATGTACGGTATCAGAGCTTAATGCGCAATACTCCACAAGAATCATTAAGCTTCCAACTTTAATGATCATTGTTGAGCACATTATTAGAGATGATAACTGTTTGCATATTACAAGTCATCTGATACTTATTTAATTATTTATATATATATA